CCTTAAATTTAGATTTTTATGGGAGACTTTAAAGTGTCCCTTAAAAAAGGAGATTTTAAGGTCTAAATTTTTTGACCTATGCATATTTATTCCACTCAATTAATGTGTGATTTATTTATTTTCTATTATAAATTTTATTTCATGATATATATCGTTACCACCACCCATCATAATGTGTATCGTGATATTAATTTTTTCCCATATCGCACATTCCTAGCTGAAAGTTAAGACAATAAATCAACTCCATCCATATGCACCTCTCATGGCACGCACACACACTTAAGCCCTATTCGCAAGGGATAAGAATTATGTGGGGACCCCAGGATTACTCCCCGACGTCTGTTTTTTATGTGGCACATTCACACGAGATAACCAAAGCCTGAGATTTTCCTGAAATTTACAGACATCTCCCAAATATGATACTGAAGCCTGGTTAGTTGACATGTTGAACACGGCGAAGCTGCACGTGCCACACATCATTTTAAACAGTTTGTTTGTTCATCAAGCTTTTGCTCTCCTATTTACAACATTTCACGTGTTATAAAGTGTTCTGCTGCATGTCCTTTCAGAGAATAGATATTCCTCCTGCTTTGCAGCAGGTGCTGATCATCTCCGTGGTCGACAGACCCCCACCCCAGCCCCAGGCGTGGGTGGTACGGATTTTTAGCAAAAGTGATAKATTTTTGAGGCTCATTAGACAGGTAAACGTCCAAAGGGGTTGACAAGTATGAACACCTTCACAGCTGGCGAGGGTGCGCGTGCGCCTGGTGCGAGTAGCTACCTAAAGCGCGAGTCTGCTACAGTCAGCCACAGCTCAACACTCAGCATCAGCCAGAAAATATTATTATTCTTACTGTACAGTGAGCCACCATTTGCATCTGATTTTGCTCCCTTTCTAATGATTTTTTTTGCCACATGTAACGGGTCGGGTTGACCCAAAAGGTTTTCAGTGTGCTCCAATCCAGCCTCCATTCTCAAGGTTTCCCCTACATGTAATTGATCGTGGCACACTGCCATGGCAAAATAAAAGCCAMCACACCTTCAGAATGAAGTTTTTTTTTWAATTAAAGTAAAACAGGGGTTGACACAACCATTGTTTAGGTTGTCAGAGACAACCTATTTTCGTTTCGGACAACCAGATCCCACTTTGAAAATTTACAATCACTTTACTTTGGCTGAATCTTTAGGTTTGTATATGCACTGTGCATGCCAGGTCATGCTTGTAAATGAGAAGTGGTTCTCAAACAGTTTACCTGGATAAATAAAGGTTAAATAAATAAAAATAAATAAAAAAATAACTCCATGTGTAACACATTATGTACAGTTTTTTTCCTTTTTGTGTGAGGTGATAATGTCTTCAGTTCTCCCAAACAGGACTTTAATTTACTTCCATAAATGGAACAACCTGCAAACTGCAGGTTCCTAGAAGCCAGATTACTGTGTTACACTGCTAAATATGGATAAATGCTAATAGGAGCAGAAATGGGTGCAGTTTTGTATACAGAATATGACATCTGGTTTTCCTCCTGGCTTGTTCAGAGAACAGAGGTTTTATTTATAAATGGGGATAAGATGGAGAACTGATGTATTTGAGTTTGTGTTTCCTAGAAACTACAATTTAATGGTTAAATTAATCATCAGTTTTCACACATGGGGAATGTCTGTCTGAGAATGTTTTGATTTATTTCTAATTTTTGTCTTTTCTCTCTATGTTTGTGAGTTTTCTTTTTCACAGGGACAATGATGGGGAGGTGATGTTTCCATTTTCACCTGGACCGGCCAGGAGCTACGCGCCACCTCGTGCATGCCATTTC